GTTTGTTTTTTTTTACTCGCGACATTTTCAATATGAGTGCAAAATCTAGCAGTTGGAAAGACTCGGTAGACTGCAGTGCCTGCCGTGCAATTTTTCAGTGACGTTTTCCTCATTTTTAGCAGGAACGGAGTTGCACATTTATATTTTACGCGGTAAAAGCAACCACTAAAACACACTTGCAGTTAGACTTTGAGCTTGCTACGTGCGGGCCAATTTTTCTCTCCGATTTCACAGCGAAGCTAGAGACTAAAAATACCCTATATGTATTTATATAATTATATATATATATAAAAAAGAGCATTCAGCAAGTTTTTAACGTTTTTGTTTACAATTGGAAGGGTGCCATCAAAACCAGTAATGTAGGTGAAGTGCACATCCGGAATATTAATTTTGGTACCAAAGTTAATGTTTGTGGATGTCCAGTACAAAGAAAACGCGAAAGAATGCCGATTCCATCTGTGTCACGTTGTGTACCGCTTACCGCCGGCACATCATACAACAGCGCACTTGTAGTGCACCAAGCACAAGCAGAATCACTTTACCTACTTTACAACAAAAGTATTTTTTCATATGGCGAAAGCTCTATCAACAGGCCGACTTCGTAATGCAATGAACTCGAAGAGAAGCCTTGTGGAAGTCTCAGAATGACGACCGATGTTTCGCCAAGGCTCTTTGTTTTTGTTGAGGTTCTAAAGAATTTAAGACTCTTATCGAGGTATCGTCTGCCACTCAGATTTCTAGGCGACTTATTTTCAAGGGTTCTGCGTAAGGTTGTGTAAGCAATGTATTAGGTCAACATTATCACGACTCTAGTTGTAGTACATTTCTAAAAAAAAAAAAACAAAAAAAAACAGATAGCAAATGCCATTTGTAACATAGGACAGTTTACTCGCAAGGGTAATGAAATATTGCACATCATGCTGCTATACTGTAGCTCTGCAACGAGGAAGCAAGAGCTCTAGAACGTACTTAGCATACCAATAATACTGCGGCGTAAGCAACTTTCCAGAGATTCCAGTACGCACTCTTCCTGAGGTGAGACCTGGATTCATACGTGTGCCCGAGGGCGCGTTCTGTTTGGTACATAACGAGCATCGAAGGACTAAATACGTACGTCACAGTCGGCCGTCTCATTCTCGCAGAGGACTCGTCGTTGAGACCTGGGGATTCAGAGATGACATCATTGGCAGGGATACTATCTTTATTTTCCAACAGATGAACAAACATTTAACTAATAATAAACAATTTTTAAGGCGAGCACAAAAACAAATGTTGCCGCTTCTTTATTAAACAACCAATGATCAGGAATAGTTTTATTTTTCATAGATGACAGCTCCTTACCATTTCTCCGTGCATACCGTGACGCCAGGGAATCGAATGTTCCGTCGGAGCTCTTCGTAGACTGTGACAGTGAAGCCGTATGTCCTGTAGAGTTCAATTACGTCCGACGCCTGGTACAGAAATCCAACGATACAGATGAGCCATACCGAGGCTTTGGAGAATGTTAGCCAATCAGGACGTTTCATCTTCGATATGAGCCGGAAAAGACACAGCACGTAACACGCACGGTGGTTTCCTGCGGTAACACCACAAAATGCAGCATAACGTCGGGTTACTTCAGCGAATTACCTTAAGCATAAGGAGAACAAATACAGAGGCAGTGCCTGACAGGATGAGAAATGCAGGGCATATCTCTTTCTCACGCCCGGCCTCCAGCACGCGCTCGATGCCTTCTGTCGTGCTCTGACTGCGCATGCACGCTCGAAGCTCTCGAGATGCCGAAGCGTCTAGAAGGTAGGAAACTCGCGCTGGAAGCAGAACAATCGAAGGACCTCGCTGTCGTTTTCTTTCTGACGATGATTATACAATGCTGCATGCATCGTGCAAATCTTCAGTACAATACGTGTTAAAGTGTAAGAAAGGGACAATGTAGTGACCGAGTCTCCCATAAGGCGCTGTGAAGTTGCACGCGTGAAGGACTAGGTGTTCCCGTAGCTGATTCATACGTAAAATTCGATCATTATTGTCGTGACGGGAGGTTTTTGAGTGCTTCCGGATAAGCAGACAAAAATACACGTGTGATGGTAAGTGAAGTGGCGTAACTCATGAAGCGTGGCAACAGCAGAACATGCGGAGAAGTCCCATTCTTGCACAGCTGTCCACCTCAGCACTGTGCTCTCCTTTCTGCGATACCATATATACTAATCTCAGTTTACAGTGAAACGTGGAAGGAGGTATGACTGTCGTTTTGCATAAACGCGCCAACAACCAGCGCACATCAGAACTATCAATGTAGGGAACAGTCCAACTGCTTCAGAAGAATAATATTACGCATTGGGGTTTTTAAGAGTAGTATCTTTAAAGTAAGTTACTGATTTTTGCCGCGCTTTATTAAATTAAATAATAGATAACGTTTAGGTTTAACGAAGTTTAACAGTATTCACCGACAAGCGGGCTTGACGTCACGGAGCTGCGGCGGCGCTGCGATCGCGCCAGAACCGGGTGATGTGGGCGGAAAGGCGCACGGTTTTCCATTGGCATCATAGCATTCAGCATGCCGCAAAGCTCCGTAGCCGTTAATTGCACCGAAATGTACAGTAAAAGTAGCGGAGTGAGTGTTCACAAGTTCCCGGCGGGCTCTAAAAGGAGCACAAGGTGGATAATATCGGTGGATCGAAAAGAATGGTCGCCTCGCGCGGAAGACCGTTAGTGCGGCAAGCACTTTCTTGAAGGCAAGTGTGACTTCCACTTCAAACTCCGTCCCGAGGCTGGCTTATGTGAATAGAAACCATCGTTTGATCGAGACCACCGAGATTTTCTTCCCACGGTGTTCGCGCACGAAGCACCGGCCAAGCGCTCGTCGGAGGCCCGCTACGCCCGTGCTACCAAGCAGAAGGAGATCGGTGACAGAACGGAAAAAGCGTTACCGCTTGTCGTGCCTTGTGGTCATGAGCCTAAGAAAAATATCACATCTTGACTCGAAGGACGCTGTGTGTATGTAATCGATTACTAAATACGCTTCCGCAAATCCGCAGTTTGCTGATCCCGCCAGCAGCGCAGAAACCGGCTCGAAGTAATTGTAGGCCTCGAGAGACTTGTACATCTGCGCCGTGTCGGCCGTGAACACGCTTGGCGCAAAAACTAAATAAACTACGGCGTGAGAAAATGACCGTCGGTGGCAGCAGCTTCACGTCGGAACTCCAGCAGTCCCAATTGTTTACGGCGTACGGATCGTCGAAGGCAACGTCGCCCACGCACAGTTTGTCTCGATACCGCTGCCCTTCAGGCTTAGGCAGCGAGCTGAAATAGTCGGACATAACACGACATACATTGGCAGGAAATACGACGCACAAATAAAGCTATAGAAGAGCTTCTACAACGCCAACAGCGAGCGCACGCCAGACAACGCAATGGCGAAAACGCCGAGAGCCTGGCCGCTTCTGCCTACATAGCTTCCGCGCATGCGCGGCCTTCGGGCCGTGCTGGTAAACAGAGCCGCGCCGCGTGTCGGCACTTTTGCGGTCATTTTCACCATACTTAAAAAAAAGAAGTATCTAACTGTTGTTGACAATGCTTTTGCAGCTATTAATTTGATGTCAAAGAATATGGCTCGCGTAGGACTCAGTGGAACAAGGCGACAGTGTGAGTAAAACGTGAATCAAAAGTAAGATATACAATTCAACAAAAACAGCGCTTAAACATAAAACAAATGCATGGTGTGTGCAGAGAATCTCCGCGTCTTCTGTATATGATGTGACGAGCATGAAGTTTGGCCGCGGCTCGACAAGTAGCCTTACCTCTGTGCCGTCTCGATGACTCGCTGCGAATTCTCTGGGTTCTTGAGTCTCGAAGTACCGGAAAATATTGCAATGTCCTTGGAAGTTCTGATGAATCCCCTTTTCTCAATATAGGAAAATTGGGAGGGTTGTATTAATTCTTGACAATCGATTTAATGATGGTGGAGGCATGGATTATGCAGCACACGATCGGACGATTCATTTTCTATGCAGGAACGATTAGCTTCCCTAATCGTGGTATGTCGCCGCGTGGCAATACAGTCGAAACAAAACGCATTTTCTTTTGATGCTGGAAACACCAGCCTACTTAATCGTGGTATTTTGTAGTGTTGCAATACCGTCGAAGTACTCCCTGTAAAAAACGCAATTTGTTGTGCGTTTTTCCCGGGGAATGTTGTCCCAGTTAATTATGTATTGATTTGGCATTTCAGACTTTCAGGATCAGCCTTGCCTCTCGATAAGAGAAAGAGGATACCAATCAATGATGCGCATATATTATATCCCCCAAGACAGCTGCAGGTTTAATTTTTGCTTTTGTTTTATACATGTGCGCCAAAACCATAATACGCGTAGTTACTCTATTTTTTCTATATTACCCGAATTATGCACGTGATGCTGATAAAACTTCGTTGTATATGCAGAAAAAAAAGGTACATTTTCAGTTAATTTTGTGTTACGAATTCCAAAGGAAATTAACCTGAGCTTTAATTTCTCGTGTGGACAATGCTTATTAAGAAAAAAAAAAGCAAAATTTATTAAAGTACCATCACGGCCAGTGGTGCTACGGAGAGTAGAGGGCGATATAAAACAAAGAAGGCAATTTCAGCGTGTCAATTTATTTTCTGACAACGTGCTGTTATAATGTATTCATTGAACAAGGCGGCACAAACAAGAACAACCTGGGAAGCTACGAGCGAGGTAATATACCTATAGTGCGGCGGCCACAAAAAGTAATATACGACGGCCTTCAGCTTCAATACGTTGAAGATGCGGTCATGATGGCCATGTGCTTTCGTATATTCTTGATCGAGACGTCGTAACCGGCTATTTCTAACACACGTGATTTGTAGCTATTTGATGGGCTGAAACATTGTGTTCGGATATAAAGACGAGTTGGCTAAGAAAAGAACCCAATGGTCCTTTCCTGGACATTACAAACGATGGATGTCATGACAAGCAAAAACAAGAAGAGTATTCACGGAACACTGGTGCAAAACATTGATTAAAAACTACAAAAAATCAAACTCGCGAACGGCACATGTGAATGGATGCACGCACAGCCATGCGATGTATCTGCCTGCGTGCGTATTAAAGTTTGGATATTCAGTAGACATGTACGCGCATGTACTGCAGCATGGCTTATGAATCAACACGAAGACGCGCAAGGCTCACATTTCGTGCATCATACGTTGTCTAACACTAATCTTTCGCTTTAACGCAATCAACTACTAATACAATTACGGGTGTAGCCATCGTTACGTGAGCAACCAGGCCGCGTGCATTCAGGTACTTCATTGCGTGTCGCATCACATTAAAACATTTTTTTTGCGAAAAAGAAAACGTAATATAAAAATTACGCTTTACGGAGGCATGCCAGCACCGATAGACACAAATTATTAGAATAAATTGTATACTCAAAACGGAAGAATGTAGATACGGTACAGTACACAATTAAACGTCTAATGCGTGCCAAGAAGCGTACACAGTGCTGACCATTTGCCCTAAGACAAATCGCAGCTAGCAACGCAGTCGGGTGAAGGTGCGGTTATGGCGAGCCGTCTTCAAAATCTTGGGTACGCCCAGCTCACTTCAGACTCTGGGACCAGCGTTTTGCGGATCTTGGAGGTGACGCAGCTCGGCACTGGTCGGTGCATGGACTTGCCCAGGCGGTGCCAGACCCAGCGGGTGAACTGGCGGTACGCTATTCTCCTGTATTGCCTGAAACAAAGTTCACGCATGTTTCTGGACCTAAACATTGTCGACGCTCTTTGTACTATTTTGTGAGGTGCAAGACTGCCCGAAGGCAACTGCTCTATTTGGCTGACTTCCTGTCATTTTAAGTTTGATGCTGTTATTAGTCCTCTGGTCAATACTGACCCCCAAAAAACACTTTTTGATCTAATGTAACCAGCAGATAAACAAGTTTAACAAATTCTTTATTACCTGCCATTTCTTTTTTGTTCAAGGTGGATTCTAGTTGTTTGATCCCCCATATTAGGAACTTTTAACCAACCGTTACCGTGTTCCGCGTACCGTACTACTGGAGCCTTTGAGGTATGCTTTTAAGCGCACGTCCCGCGGTCGGTGTCACTCCGGGCGCGCGCTTAAAGCTGCCCTGAGGAGGTTTCTGAGGTCGCCTAAATACGATAACAAAATCTTTGGGCTCTAAGCATCATAGAAGTCCATAAATCATAACGATGCGTGGCCTATTTTCTTATTAAAAAAGCAATAAAAAATCGAACACACGGAGGTCATCGCCGGCGATGGGAGGAGCATTTTTCCGGCAGCCAGGACGACATGTGACCAATGAAAACGTGACATTTCGTTAAGATTGTAAACGCTGTTATTACAAAGCGTGAATGCTTTTGTGGATGATAAACGAAAGAAAAGTAGTCGAAAGATGCATGTTTCGCGGAGAGGGAACATCATACTGCAGTAATAGTCTTCAAAACAACGCACTATATATATATATATATATATATATATATATATATATAAATATATATATATTTTTTTTTTTCTTTTGGTGAGGCGACGTGTTCGGTCGTCAGCTCTCGAGCGCGCGTTCGCTGCGTTGAACGGTAGTCCGGGCTGTATGGGCAAAGAGCCGCGCGCATTCCATATATCAGTCCGCGGTTCCACCGACCGGAGGAGCGAGGATCCTTCGCTCGCTATTGGCTGACGGTGGTCCTGGTTTTGGAATCTGCTCCTTCCATCGTCGGAAATGACCTCGGTGTGTTGCGATCATTGACTGCTTTTTAATAGAGAAATCGGCCGCGTATCGTCATGATTAAGGCATTTCTAGGATGCTTAGAGCCAACAGAGTGAGTTACCGCCATCTATAGGAGGTCTGAAAAACCTCTTCAGGGCACCTTTACAAGCAGGCTTCAAAGGTTCTAGTAGTGCAGTGTACGCGGAACACGATAGCGGTTTGCTAAAATACCTAATAAGATGCTCGGGACTGACGACACCCTGCGTTTCTTCGGCTGCCAGCTGCTATACTACACCCGTTTAATCGTGCTCAGGCTTTAAACTCTGCGCAAGCACTTTCATATTTGTTCAATATTCTCGATTTTTTGCGACTCCATCGCAATAAACGCCGACATACGCCACCCGCTGATATGGAAGAGAAGACATTACAGGGCTGCAAGCAAATTGATTGTCGAGGCAAATTCATAGAAGCCACAGGGGTGATTACGCATCAATGCTATAGCATTTATCGTTGCACATCGCCAAATTTAGCGGGGAAAATGAGCCGAAAGTAGCCAAATGCCGCACACCTAATGGTGCATAGGTCGTGGCGTAAACTTTTCCGCTAAATTTAGCAGGGGAAGTCCTCGCTACACTTAGCGTCGTCCTCTAGAACGACTGTAAATCCTTGTCGTCCTTGAGATCACTCTAGAGGTCGTCCTTGAGGTCATCCGGGACCTCATCCTCTAGGACGTCGCCCTCGACATCGTCCGAGACGCAGTCTTTGACGTCGTCTAGGACGACATCATATATCACGACGTCATTTAGAAGGACGTCAACGACGACATCTACGACGACCGCTAAGACGATATTTAGGGCGACCTTAAGGATGAGCTCTATGACGACCTCTAGGAACACCTCAAGGAAGACCTCAAATATGACGTCAAGGACATCAAGAATGACGTCTAGCACAACCTCTAGGGTGAGCCCAAGGACGACCTCCAGGGCGACCCCTTGGACGACGACGAGGACAACGTCAAGGTCGTTAGGTTCTTCGAAGAGGGTGCGAATGTGAAGGAGTGCGTACTGCCGCTCCGCATACGCGCGACGCAATGGGGTGAGAGCACAGTGAGCTGAAATGGTGTACTGCGCATACCTACTGTGCATTAGGAGGCCAGAATATACATAGCTGTAAATCTTAAGTAGTAGCTTAATAATGCTTTCGCATTAAAAGTAGGCATCGAAGTCCAAATCTCTTAGTAACTGATATCGATACTTACTCGTGCTCGTGCAGGCCACACAGGTATTTCGGCTGGTTTTCCATGCACCAGTAGAAAGGCACCTGGAGGCTGTGCAAGTTTAGGCAGACGCTCTCGAAGCCAGGATGCAGGGTGATGCAGCCGTGGGTACCGACCGCCTTGGCCACCTCCGGAATCTCCAGGCAACACGTCGATTCGCTGGCCACCGACATGCGGCTGCAGTGGCCACACATGCACCTGCAGTGTTGTAGGTGCATGTTTTCATGCGAAGTCTCGAACCGCTCTACGGATGTAGTACAAAAAGTCTACCAGAAAGCCGTTGAATAGAAACGTTATGTACCATGCTCACCAAAGTTTTCCGGACCACGCGAACGGTGACTTATTCAAATGGAGCGCTATCCTGTCGGTAGCCACAAAATTGGCTGAATGGTGGCGCGCCCGGATGTGACGTATTTCGTTACGTTTTTGCTGTTTCCGGCAGAGCTTTCTGAGTCAGAACCGTGCGCTTTGGTTTGGACGGGCCAGCTTCGGGCAAGCGCGCACGCGCGCACGCAGGCGCGAGCGCACTCTGGCGGTCACCTTCCTCGCGTCGGAAACGGGGGGAAAATTCACAGATGCAGACATACTCGCAAGCAAGCAAAGTGCAACTGCGACAGACTGGCCGGCCAGACAACAAAGAAACGCGGAGCCGGAACTAGCTTGCCCTCCATTGATTGGCCGGGACACAGGAGCGCCCTACTACGTCACCGCGCGTTTTTGTGCGCGTTGAGAAAGAAGTTGAAATCAACCAACTTTTTTATGCGCGCCCGGAAGGAGCGAAGAACCGGCGCGACGTCACGAAATACGTCACATCCGGGGCGAGCACGAACTACAGCCGCAAAACGAAGCGTTGGTTTGGATCGTGCTTAAAGCCCCTTGATACTTCTTTTACACGTACACCCGCGAGCGATATGAAGGTAAACAGCCCTGTTATTGTTTTTGACGCTCCTGCAAGTTTTGGAACAAGCCCTGTTCCAGAAGAGGGCTAGGACGCAAAGTTTAGACCCCAAGCCACTTACCATTTGAGTCGTTGAGAGTTAATATAGCTTTAGGGAGCCGTAAAACAGACAAGAAACCAGGTAAAGTGTTCACCTTCATGGCCGGCGGGTGTACCGACAACCAATACGAACGACGAAGCATATTTCGTCGAAAGAAAAAGTCATTTAGTTCAGTCTTCTGGTGCGCGCCACCATTGGCTCCCTAAAAACCTGCATTGTCACGCAGTCGGCGCTTCAAAGATTATCGCTACTTATAGGATGCACGAATAAAGAGCGGCTCTTATCTAGGAATGTTAGGGGATGCCACTCGCTCAGGGTCAAAATGGCTGCTGGAACGGGGACACGGTGTTTACCGCAGCCATCTTTTTCCATCGAAGCCCTTTCTGGGTTGCCTAGTGTTTAGGTATGTCGACGCTTACTTGGTCATTTGTCCAGACTTTGCGTCCGCTGACAGCATCTTTGAAGTTTTCAAAGACTGTGCAGCGGGACGAACTTTTACGCGGGAAAATCTTCAAAGGAAGGATTTCAATTCCTGGATTTACGGTTACATCCTCATTCCTCAGGTCTTTGTCGGGCCTTCCAACAGAGATCGGAGAAGTCAGTCCTCCCCTTCACCAGTGCTCATTCCAAGTCAGTTAAGAAAGGCATAGTGAGGTCACTTTTGAAGTCCTCATCCGCGAAGTCGTGTACGAATTTCTCTTAAATTAGCTTCAAGTAGCAGCCTAAGAGGTTTAAAAAAGCAGGCTTTTTTGCAGACCTCCTTCGTTCCACCCTCTATAGATTCATTCTCAGACCCCAACTTCCGCAAGCTGTTGCCAAAAAGAAAGGTCGTTTCGCTGTGATTCCCTACATGCACAATTCCGCGCACTCTTTAAGATCTATCGCGACCAAGTTCGACACTAGTGTTGTTTTCTCCTGTCGTATGCGCCTTAAACAGAAAGCAGATGTGTAAAAAAGTTAATGGGAGCGACAGTCAGAGGGCGCAATGTAAAACATGCCAAAAAGTTCGTAGAGTGCGAAGAAAGAAAAGTTTATTCAATTACACTTAGCTGTGGTAGTCCGTTCATCGGACAAACTCGGAGATGCGTCAACCACCAACTCAGAGAACTCAACTTGGAAGCATCAAATGCTTAAAATGAGTATTTTTACCCAATCGTCGTTCACAGCCGCACGTGCGATGACTGTACTCCTTATTTTTCTGATACTAGAATACTGAGCGGGCACAACAGCAGGTTTGGGAGATAAATCATTGAATCATTTGCCATGGGGACTGTCAACTACAACACTTCTTTACCTCCATTATCACTGGCAAAGACAGATGTTTAATTCCTAGCACCAGATATGACTAGATTACTGACACCTCGTCGTGACGCTAGTGCTCTTTAAACTTTTATATCTATAGTACATTTCCATTTGGGACTGTCAACAACAATATTCTGCACCTTCTTTATCACTGACAATGACAAAGGTCGAATATCTTGCACCAGAGATAACCAGATTACTGGTATTCCGTCGTGGCGACAATGCTTTTTAATTTTTATTTTTATCGTAAATTCCCTTTTCTTCTTACCAATTTTCTGATTTCCTTCTGCGATAACGTTGAAACCTTTTTTTTTTCTTTTTTTTTTGGGGGGGGGGTTTATAGTTTGTGCCATTCTATGTTGTTGCTCAATGAAAGACGTCCTGTTTCCGTCCTCGTCCTCAATGTTTTATCCTTTCAAATATTCGTATGTATTTACCAACACGCTCGTTTTCTATTATCGAATATTACACACCAGATTTCGTCCGCGTGCAATCTTTCGTTGCTAGTTCAACTTCTTGAGTCGAGGTAGCACTACCGGTATCTTTCGTTGAAAGTTCTTTGATATAACGTACAATTGTTGCTCCCTACAAGTCTTTTTTTTTTTTTTTTCAACAGTGTTTATTAACCTGAGGCTGGGGTAGAGAAGAAACATCAAAAAGTGGAAAGAGACAGAAAATAGACAAGACGACATCTCTTCTACGTTTTGATGCTTCTCTACCTCTTCAACACGGCTAATATCCACCATATCGCCTGCACCGTTACCCTATATTCTTTTTTTGAAGCCCCAACTGCGTGACGGTGGAGGTTTTAGGAAGCGAACGGCGGCGCACAGCAACTGAAAGGCCCCACTTTGTTCCAGCGGAAAGAGGTTCATCACGCGTGTTGGTTGTCGTTACTCGTAAAAGAAAAAATTCAGGAAGTTTCCTTGCGGTCGTCGATCCCTCGTTTTAGCTCGCATTGTCTACAACTGTGCGCCATTGAGGATACAAACAATGTAATTCATAGTTATTCAATAGTTCTAGTGATGGGTTCACTGCAATGACCCGTCGCCGAAAGCTAGGTGTGGCTACTTAAGGGTGGGTTTGAAATTGCAAAAAATATTTTTGATTGCCAGACCCACAGTGGTGGTGGCTAGATAAGTGGCTCTCTGCCCCCTTGTCGACGTCACTGCCGCGGTCTGGCCAAGAACGGAACGCTTCCATAGCATTAAGGACAGCCTCGTGACCTATTGAATGGCTCTGCTGTTACGTGCGTCGATGTTTGTGGTTCGTAGAAGCCAGATAGGTTAGCGAAGATGTAGACACGCGGATCATACAGGTCGCTCGCAAGCCATATACACGAAATAAGGCGCGTGCATCTACACAAATGGCAAGCCTAAAACGGTGAGTATTGGCGATGAGATGTTTCAATGACTCAATATCTTTTAACATCATGACCAGGATTACCGATCGCCAGCGAGATTTTTGACGGTGTGTGTAAAAATCATGGTGGAAGCTTGTTGTCGTCTTGTCCTTACACCAACTCCTTCAAAGTTGACGGTCTGGCATTTTTCTTATTTCCATTAATGAAAGTAGAATTCATCACAATCCCGACGTTATATATAGCACGTTTGGCCAATCGTGGAAGGTCTATCTGTCTCAGGGTGAAGTCAACAGTTGTCGCACTGAGTGGGCCAGCGGGTGACGCGCTCAGTGCGCCACTTATACATGCCTTGCACGTGACGTCACGCTGGGGAAGGACGGGGCCCTGCGCCATGCTGATGGTGGACATCACACCGCGGGGATGCGCTTACCAAGGCGCAGGATGCCGCTAACTGCCCGGACATGCGCTGACATGCGCTATACTTTCATCAAAGGTACATAGTTGTGTTAGATGTGAACTTGGAAAAGAAAACAAAAACAAGCCGAACTTACGGCGATGATATTTAGCCAGTACTAGCGGAATTAATTGTTAGGCATTGGCGCGATTGCGCTACGAGCAGAAAGCTTCAAAATGCCGCCGACTAAGTTTTAACGCAAGAAAATGTGTCGCAAAAAAACAGAAAAAAAAGTGGTCGCCACAAAAATTTACGAGCGGCTCTAGGAGTCGCTTGTAGAAAAATTGTTAGGATTTTATGAAGTACTGGCAAACAACGAAAGTTTGCCGTAATAATCTAAACCCTGATACAAGGATAAATAAAAGAACGGAGACAACCCTCATTGTCTCGGGGTTTATATTATGACGTTTCTTAACCGGCTCGCTTGCATGCTTTCACTCCTTGCAAAGGTTACCGTCTCGCGACGGCACAAGCGGATGCCCCGGCGGCGGCGTCTCGGCGAGTTTGCACACGGGGGCAGCCGCCGACCAATCGCCGTCTGGCCGGGCTCGTGGCGCGACACTCGCCCGTACCCGGCCGGGAGTCCCGAAGGTACGCTCGAAGCCTGGAAACGACGTTATGTAGCGAAAGGCGAAGGGCATCTACACCGCGAACGGGCAAAAGCCGACGCAGAGGCGTGCGCGAACGTAAACAACGGTGGAAAACTGTCGTCGCTCTCCGCTATAAAATGCGTCCCGCAAACTCGGTAGTCCGCGGCCGCATCCCTTTCCTACCGCTCGTACTTTCTCTAACTTGCCCCGCGAGACGGGTATACCCTCGCGGGGCATGCCGACGAAACGATCGTCGCGATACGCCGAGCGCAGCGCAGTTTACCATTGCACTCGCTGCGAAGGGCCGTCAGGTCAACCACCAGCATCGTGGTTACCGGCGTTCGACGTCAAAATGGCATCTCAGCATTAGTCAAGGCTACGCGTTCGAGCTGAGTCACACCGGACTGCACGCACTTCAAAAGACACAAAGAAACGATTGGCTGGGAAAATGGCTGATATGTCACCACTCAAGCATGTCTGCATGAAGGCGCTCTAGTAGAAGGCCCCCCAAAGCGACGCTTTTGTCTCCATAAGTACGTCGCGGAAAACGCACAAAAAAGATAACACAGAAGTGTAACACATACGGCGCTATTTTCTTCCGTATTGTCTCTTGTGTGCGCTATGTGCTCGCCGTTTTAGACACGACGAAACTGGCCCAAGCTTCAATCTTAGCACGAATTACGAGACAACTCAAAATGCCAACCAGATGGTGTTTCCGAGCCGGTAGTCCCGGGATTCCTCGACGTCTTCCAGAGAGAGCCAGGACGCGCTCCGTGCTTTCGACAAGGCCCTTGATATGGCCTCCCGCTGACGAAGTTCGACCTGAAGGATGTTGTTGTCGTCGTCGCTGCTCCCGTCAGAAATCTCCGAAGATTCCTCGGATGAATCCATGCCACTTCGCAGATACTTCTCGTAAAACACTCACTCAAACAGGGAACCCCACGATACTGTCCGGCGCTTGCTGAGTAAAACAACCGACCAACCACTATCACGGATGCCGAGCAAACGCTTTCCCACGTGCCGGGCAACACACAACTGCGGGGCCAGAGGCACAGCCAACCGGATACCAAAGCTGGGGCGTTTCGTAAAGTGTTGTTACCAAAAATGAGTCGTCGTCGTTATATCTTTTGAGTGTTATCAGTTCGTAGATTGCAGCCAAGACGCAGTCCGCTCCCCTAAATTCGGGTGCCTGTTGTTCTCAAGCACTTATCGAAGAATATGCGACCTCGCAGAGGCGGCCGCGTAAACGCTATTGTTTGCTGCTGTCTTATCTTCACGTGAACAGCCAGCTTCTAAAATGCATTACACTTCGTGGGCATATTTATCCTCTGGAGGAAGCGTAAAGTTCACAAGATTGCCAGCACTGGCTTTCAAAGCTGATGGGCATGTATATAAATGCGAAACGTTCTGAATTTTTTACCGAGTGGATTCCGGGGATGTCCACTGGTAGATAAAAAAAAAACTTCTAGAAGTACTCTGCGCTGCGGCTTGTCACCTTACAGGGGTAACGTCGCGCTTCGTTGAGCGTATAAAAAATGACTTAAAAAAAAGCCTCAAATTATTAACACAGATTAGTTGGCAAGGACAATCACAATGGCCTCTTTGAGTTTCCCAGATGTTAGTCAGTCTGTCGTCTGTGCCTCGTTATTTTTGTCTTTTATATCCAGTCTTTTTGTTTTCATTTCTGTTATAAAATTGGTTTGAAATTGAACGAGGTTTCGACGTATTGATAAAGATGGCCCCCGAGGGAGCCAATCAGAGTGACGGAGCAAAGCACGTGACAGCTTCGCCCAAGAGGAGTGCGCTGTCTCTTCGACAAGCATGATTGACTCGCAGGGGCTTTCGTCGTTTGCCAAACTATACTAAAATAGGAGTGCTATGAACATCGATAGGGAAGCAAACGGTGAGGAGTTTGGTATGGACGCGCGTTACCCCCAAAACGACAGTGAAGCCATCCTCTACGTCCGCTCTTGAACAGGCACTGGCCAGGTAATATCACAGAAATTATCACACAGCAGCGCAGAAGCACACATACTATACTTTCCAGCGTCTTAAGAAAAGAAGTGTTACCAAAGTGCGTTGCCGAAAAAGCGTCATCCGTGATCACCTGTCACGTCAAGTGATGTTAGCTCACGTGACGTCACGTGACCAAATAACGCATAGTGGTATAAACTACGCGACCAGGTGGCTCATAGTTGAGCAGAGCAGATTTGCCAGCCCAGAAACATAATCTACGCATGATCATTTTGTCAGGTATAACCAGAGTACTTTCGCACGCGCAGTTTCACAACCTTCGAAGTACCAGACACTCAAGACAGTCAGGCGACGTGTTTGAAAGATTACCAGATCAGACGGGACGCCGGCCGGTTACGTCATTCCTGTGCGTTCACGAGACGCCGTGATTGGGGGCGATATCCGCGCCGGGATTCGCACAAAATGGTCCCGGACAGAATAGTCCCGGACAAAATGGTCCCGCTCAAAATGGCTCCGGACATAATGGTCCCAAGCGCCAACCCGGACAAAATATGGTCCCAGGCAAATTTCGCGGCATAGTTTGTTTGCTCTTTGGAGGTTAGCGGGTTGTTTGTATTCGCTCTTTCTCACGTGTGGTAAAACGTGGCGGCGCCAGTGTGCAAATAGCCCCCAACAACTTCCGGTTCTGAACTAGACGGCGGGTTTCGCACTAATTGCGAAAGCAAATATACGCGATTTACTCTGGATACGGCCACGTATAGCACTGTCAGATTTAATTCCCTCTCATTATAAAATAAAGATGAGTAAAAAAATTAGGAAATATGCGTGAACCGGAAGTGTGTCGGGACTGCCCAGTAGATGGCGCCACTGAGTTTGTAGCAAAGAAAATGTTCTACTGAATATTTAAGTTGTGAAAGGTTAACCATCTTAAAGTTTATATATTTAAGTTAAAACACACTGCATGCCAGAAGCTTAGTCCAGAAGAAGAGAAGAATATGGGCAGGAGATCGAACTATAGGGGGCGCTCTGACCCGTTTGTTTTCCCCACGCTCGGTGTTTACTCAACACAAGGCCTGTGCACATGCCAGCAGGCCTTATGGGCATGGCCATGTCATCTTCTACAATAGAGCGCGGGGCACAGTTTAATGTAAAAAATACTAACAATCGACGAAGCGCGTTAAGTGCCGGATCTATCCTCAGAGAATGCGAGCTTGACCCACTTCGGCTTTTGTGCCAAGCTGGGATCGTGCATGCTGCATTGTTCACGCAGGCCGTTGTGGAAACAAAGGAGCCCCTCCTCCCCCTCGCCGGAGAATACGAACTCCAGCCGAACGCTGACGCCGCGTTCGGTTATGTCGGCCGAGCGCTGCGTCATTGTATTTGTTGTCCCCATCCGTGTAGTTGATAAGTTAACCGCTTGGGGCGTCACGGTCTGTCCTCCTCCCCAATAAGGCTGGTAGCTCTCAAGTTTGGGAGGGCGCCCCCGGAGAGCAACATCGGATGTTTTAAGATCGTGTTTACGATGTGCGCCACTACGCTCAGTCGAGCTGACATAAAATTGTGACATAAAAAACACCAAGCAAAAAAAAAAAAAAAAAAAAAATTAGCGTTTTTTTTTTTTATTTGTTTTGCTAGCGCAGCGAACTTAGCATAGCGCATTGATTGGCCGTCAACAGGAACTCGATATCTGCGACCGATCAGTATCCGCTGCGCTAGCCCCATTTGCCACGCTGCCCTGAGGGCGCGCCGGAGCAATGCTAGTGGCGCCGCGCTCTGGCAGAAAATCGCCGTTCATAGCAGTATGGAGTGCGGGTCCGGTGGCAATGGTGACGAACGTGTTAAAATTCTATTCGCGTCTCCAGCTCGCCGCTCGCCCTCCCGCGGCGGAAACGGGAAGCGCTCTAGTGAGGGTCCCCCGATTCTCCTGCTCAGCGGGCACGGCGGAACTGCGCGCGATCATGGCTCGCGAAATGTCGTTTCCGAAATCAAACTACACTATTCACTGTCCCAACGTGGTGCTGCAGCCTGTATGAGATTGTACCTTATTAGAGAGTTTGAGTATAGCGTATAGAAGCAAACGCAAGCGCTGTGCGTTTGCGTTAGGGTGGCCTGCTCCACGTCGCGCGTGCGCATCATTGCCATGCTCCAATCCAAGACCGCAATCCTGGCCTCCGCGCACGCGCAGTGTGGAACATGCAAAGCTAACGCACACACACAGCGCTTGCATTTGCTCGTATATGCAATACTAAAACTCAGTACTGTTTCACCGTTTTCCAACACCAACGAAACGTGCTGCAGTGAGCGGACGCGCAGGCAGGTCGGTGTTCCTTCAAACTGGAAAGGCTGAGGATGGCAAAACGACGGCGAGCAAATACGAAACGATATGAATGTTAAAAGAGTATTAATTAAAAACATAATCCTTTTTTTTTTTTTTTTTCTGGAGGGGGGGATTAGGTCTGGAAGAATATTGGTGGCGACTTTGGAAGTTTTGCCGATTGTCAAAAGTCGCTACTTTGATAGCATCCTCAATTAATCTAATTTTACATGAATTTCTCAGATTAGCTAGGATGTCGTCATTATTTTAATAATTTATTTATTTTTTCACTTAGTAATTAAAAATGCAATTGGCACCAGTGATGATAATTAGCACACTTCAGATTGTCATACTTGTTAGCGCGTTTGAAATTAGATCATACACAACTAATTATTTAAGAGCTTGAAATTTACGTATCTGAATAATAATATTTATAACATTATTAATAAAAATCGCGGCAATATATGCCCCTAATTAACCGTACAATCACAGAAATATGCCATTTAAAAATGATCGTCTTTTCTGAAAGGTGTCATTTTGATTTCTTATTAGCACATGAAGACCTCTGGCATCGTTACCAAGATAGAAAAACAGTCAAACACTGGATGCAATATAAACTGATATGCGTCACACGTTGCTTTAAAAAGACGCACACTTCAGCTGCCCGACTCGGATTTTGTCTTTGAATTTTTCTAGTGAGAACAGCGTTTCTTAATATTAATTCATACGTTTTGTGAGGTATAAATTGGATTTATTCTGTTATTCTTGTGCTGTGAAAGATATTAAAGCAATTAATCTTCTAAATACCCAAAAAGCCATTGAAAGGAGCGCAGTTCATTGGTTTACATGACAGTTATGTGAGCAAGAAAGGCAGCAAGAATGCAAGAATATCAGCACTGGATTTTTTAACTACAGCATTCTATGTTACCTCTAAGGTGTATCAAAGACCCTGTCTTTAAAGGGAAGAAGGTTTCGCGAACAACCTCTTTAACTAAATAATTACGGTGTGAGACACATTTTGAGTTATGAAAGAATCTGAAATTAAGACCGATACCGAGAAATTAAATCCAAAATAAAGGTTAGTTTCGGTTTTGCTCCAGAATTAAAACGTACCTCCTGGCCTAAATATTACGCTACATACCGTTTTTATTGTCAGGATAAAGAGGTGACCTGCGCTCATAACACCCTAGCTCCCTAGTATTACCAGAAATAATTTGTGTCACTCAGTGAATCCAGCAAACTAGACAGGCTCAGCAGCGGCACGCATCTCCGACCCTCACTAAACCGGCCATTTTGGAAAACGAGTGGCGCCACCTATAGTGAATTGGAGTCGCGAATTGCGGACACGTTGCAATATTATTGCGGCTTTTTGCCTGCTAAAAAACGGCGATTTTTTTTTTCTTTTTTCGGGAGGCGAATTTTTGCAAAGAAAGGTTGCCTGTGTGCCAGACCTCCGGGGTGGAGAAGGGATGATTCTGGCATAAGAATATTTGTCGACAGGAAAGTGCATCTCGCAAGTGCAGGACATGTGGCGTCCTCTATGACACCCGGCTCAAGATAAACGCCGTTTTTCATTATGGTTTCGCTCGCTCTTGAAAGAGCTGTTCGGACAAAGATAAGGATGCTATGTTGTTCAGTTGTCTTTTGCCGCACAGCTGCGCTGTGGCACACACTGCGTGAACTAGGGCAAGCTCAATTTGAAATTCGAACTTACCGACTGGTGGAAGCATGCCATGGCTGTTTTAATTCACGCTAATGAAGTCAATAGCGAGGCATGCACTGCCAGACCGCAACACTAAATAAATCTGTATAAAAAAAAGAGAAAAAAAAAGGAAAAAAGAAAACGAAGCGGGACGCGAATACGGCCACAGCTCATCTGTTTTGTTCCCAGGCATTTTGAGCGGATCGAAAAACAATATTAAAAACTTTTACTACACGCCGCAACACCTTGTCTGTTTGCGCACGTGTACCGCAGC